CTTAAATGCATCAATCGGGTGCACTTTGAGGGAGAAATAAAGAGACTACACCCATATGAAACATAACTGTATACATTTAAATAATCATAAAATCATAAGAACATGGCCATAACCAATAACATACCATATCCAATATGAAAAAACATTGAAACTTGTTTATTTATTTGTTTTTGGTTCATTTATAGTTGTGAGTGTGTCTGGGCTCCTGAACCAGCCTCACCCGTCTCCCCCCTGCTCCTCTTTGAGGTAGCAGCAAAGACTAGTTTTAGCTCTCAACACGTTTTTTAAAAGTTTCTTACCTTTTTTCACCTAGTTAATTTTTTTATTATTCATGCGTATTTTTACTAATCACTCCCCCTTCAAAAGGAAATATGTGTTTACATAAATGGTGACCAAACCGTTTGAGACCCACAGAGAACTTAGACTAAGTTAACTATCCAAACACTCAGAGTCCTTTACCTCACCTGAGCTGTAGTTATCAGTCTCTCAGTCTGACAGGAGAGGACTCTCCTCCACCTTGTTGACACCTCATTATATCCGTTAGCGCAGCTAGCTAGCACCAGATGCTAACAACAACAATACACGTAACCGGTGCACGCGCTTTCTCTCTCGCTCGCTCGCGCCACACATACACACCCCCCCCGAGCTTGAATGACACACAGAGACCAATCGAGGGCATTAGTGTATGATCTGTATGAAAGTGGCAATGTCGGCAGGCCACATCATGTAGACAGCTAGTCACCCTCTGTGAGGCAGAGTCAGACCCACATTTGCGCAGCGTTGCGTTCACAATACATACATAAAAAAAAAAATTCCTCAGGCCAGCAGGCCACTTAGCAGGCCGGTCCTCCCGATGGCCAGTCCGGGCCTGTTAACATGTTGTAGGGTAATTAAGAGGGGGATGTAACTGAGTCTGGTAAAACTTCTGACAGTCTTAAGGTCACGAGCACGAATCCCAAACACGAAATACGAGAAGATGCAACACAATCACACACACACATAGTACACACACACACACGCAGTACACACACAGTACACACACACACAGACACACAGGAAATGCTTCAGATACGGAAAATGTTTTTAAAGAGAGCTGCGCTGAAAATAAACTCTTATATCAAAAGAATGTGGAGATCTTCAATACTTAATTGTTCCTAGCTTCATCAGCCAAAGGAGAAGAAGGCCCATTACATCTTAAATAACACCTATGTATTGAAAAAATGCTTTAAACACTCCAATATACTTTTAATTATTACATACACAGGCCAGGGACAGTAACCTTCGAAAGACGGGGCATTTTCACCACATTTTCAAGTGTCAGTTTTTCAACATCACCACGACCGCCCCCTCACCACCACGAAGACCCCCACCCTCAGAGTACATGTATAATAAATCACAGACTGAAAGGAGAAAATCATCACAGTTGTCACCGTACATCTTTGCAGTCTTCTTTCGTACAGCTGGTCTTGGTGCGGAGGTCAAACCATCGCACCGTGCCGTCCTCCCCACACGACAGGAACGTGTAGGGGTCATTTGGTACCGTCATAATCTGACAGAGGGAAGAGAGGAAGCTGAGGTTAGGAGACGGAAACCACGAGAGAAAGATGTTTGTGCTCCGTTTGAACAGATTTGAACATCTCCACTAAGAGCAAATGAGCAGAGTCTGAGGAAAGGCTGGGCGGTTCGGATAAAAAAAAAATCACAATATGTTTGACCCAATACATTGACAACGATATTGTAGGGTTGACTTCTGAAGTTATAACAAAATATTAACACACGGAACATTTTGGTAAATAATCAGCAGTAATGAGGATTTATACGAAAAATCGACTTACTTACTCTGGTAAATTCAGAAAAAGGTTCGTACCGTAAAGCAAACCATATTGCGAAATCTAAGACCATACATAGTCTCATATCGCTAATTTCTATATATAAATTATTAATATATTGCCGAGTCCTCCACTAAAGAGGACAGCCTTTGCATTTGCTTTCATCAACACCAACAACACATTTGAATAGCCGTTAAGCTGAAATAAAATGTGCAGACTTTTACTCTTTGTCCCATGTTGTAAAATTGTTATCGAGCAACCAGACTTATAAGATTTCTTAATGACTTGCAATTTTAATAGTACTTTTAAATGTGCTGGTATTTAAATGGCCTGATACTAGACTATGTATGGCTTTGTTGTTGGTTGATTATTAAGTTTGTACCTGCCAAGAGACTGCAAATTGAAATAAGCTAATAGCTAAATCTGGCATCCGTCATTCTTCTTTTATTGACAGTATTGTTTTTTATGGACGGCGCCGGTTAAATGAACCCTAGATATTAGTTATCGATAATAGTACCTCATAAGCTGTCCCGTAGTGGCAGGTGAACTGACACTGTCTGTTGTGCTCGGGACTCTTCTCCGTGTTGGTGTAGTAGATGACGCCGTCTCCGGAGCAGGAGATGATCTCCTGGTCGTTGGTGTGGGGCATGAACTTGGCGCTGAAGATATTGGCCCGGTGGCCGGAGCGTATGGACTTCTTGACCTGAGGAAGACCAAGAGAGGAGGCTGGTTTACGTCTTAATCTTCTGATGAACGCGAGAAAGTAAAAAACATTTTGGGTGCAAATAACTTGAACAGAAATGTGGTTTCTACTCCATAGTTTCTCTTGGAATAAAATCACACTGTACATTTATATATTCAGTTTAATATTTAATATTCCATCTGTCACATACTTCTGTATATATAATACCTTGCTTTATATCTTGTTAATTTGTCAACATGTATATTTTCTACTTTC